TATGGTCCTAGTTGGCGCTGACAGACTAAAGTAAGACAGTAATATACGAAAGCATTATCATAGATTTATTAGAATAAAATGTAAAGTTGTCCTTGTGCGAAAGTAATTAAGCACTAGCCATGTGGGTGTATGGGGGAGTATATGTATAGATCCATATTTTCTTGACCTCAGCACTAGTTGGAGGTGAGTGGTCAGCCTTAGCCCATGCCGCTTTACCCCCGGGGAAAGAGCCCGCGGTACCCATTGGCAACGAATACGTGGAAATTGGGGAGTTCCCGCAGCGACAAATCGTAGCAACGAATTGTCGTTGAGTAACAACGGACGAGACGAAACACGTTACCGGTGTATTCTATAAAGAGCGTTCCCGTAACAACGGACTGCCTGAACAGCGGTAACGGAACCGTGAGGAATGGTGTCCGGTATCCGGTCCGCATAACCGCTATATAAGCAGAGCTTACGGCACGTACAGAGCATTGAGTACTGAGAACGAGACAAACTTGGGATAGCCGCCGCCAGAGACCGTTGAGATGCAACCACAGCCAAGGATAGTTGAGACATCGCATTGGAGTATTGGGCCAGAAGTCAAGTGATACTGCAAGTGGTGATAATTGTAAAGTGTGTAAGAGTGGGTGTCCAATAAAGATTCGCTAAATCCGAGACCCACGTAAAGTTATTTGTCGCGTGATACACCCAACAGGTGACAATATTAATATTATCATCCCATCTACTTCTAGGTCTCATAAAAGGGTAGCATAAATTTCCATGCGCTCTGCATTCCCTGCCGATCCAATCTTAGTTGATTTTGTCACCGTAAGGATCATCGTAATTTGAATATCGACTCTTGGTCACATAAATCGAGGGTGAATCTAAAATATTATGATGGTTCTCACTAGGCAGTTCCGTTTAGTCTGGAACTAAATTAATCTCTCCATTTTATTCTTGGTCGTAACAAATATCGTTTGGTAGTATCTAAAATTGTTCTAGAATGCAGACTTATATATAGAAAACACCATGATGAGGGACGTTTTAGAGTTCTACACTGACACATACGTATTAGCATAACGAAAGCGATTATGCAACTAAGACCTTTTTGCACCAGTCAGAAAATGTGCTACAACAGATAACTCCAATTATGAAAAGGAGAGATGTGATATAATGACACATTTCATTTTATACAAATATTAACGTAATATGAGTGAATCACAAATATCTATAAGTTTCAGAGTCAAAATAGTAGGCCCTAGATATACATAAAACATATTTAAAATATTATTTAGATCAGTACTGAAACCACATGACTTCTAATTTTTACTATAAAAAGTGATTATATCCTTTGTATCTTTAACCTTTTTTTTCCAGGAAAAAGATCAAATGGAATGGCCAAATTATGACATTTATTTACAAACAATAATATATTGTATCCATATGCAATAAAACACTGAAATGAATATCGCAAATATTACAATAATGGGATAATATTTAAGTAGCAACCCCGAAAACTAATGAAACAACATACAGCATAGAAACCAGCTGCGGAAAATAAACAGCCATCTTTACTCCAATTTCACAAAAAAAAAAAAACATTTATTTAATAATACTGACTAGTAACTACATTGTAGCATTTCCACTGCACCTGATTGTCACGTGGCAATGGGAGAAACCGCGTTTCTCTCGTTTCATATTGGGTAGTATATAAGGAACGACAAATTAAGTCGAATTAACACGGACAAGCTGACGCAGCTCATCCGAAGTATGTCGACTTTTAAAGAAACTTGCCGCATTAAGAATTCAATCAAGGAAGAGGACTCTACGTGACATGATGTCAATCGAAATGAAATAAATAAAACAGGTACTGACACGGGTATCTAAACGCAATAGCCATTGTGTAATTCATTTAAAAAGCATTCACCATTTACGCTAATCGTACCAGTATTTGAAGCATTATCGACGAACAAAATGCCACATTTTCAGAACAGGATAATTATAACCGGAATTTACACACAAAAAGTCCCACAGTGTTTTCGTCATGACGCCTAAGACACTCTGTGATTACAAAATTTGAAAGTAAATATACATTACAGATTATATAAAGCGTGTAGAGATCAAACTGTTATGCTAATATCTTGCAATATTAGAGCCATGCGTCTGTCAACGGCAGTCCATATATAATAGGTGTGCTGACATACAGCTCTGGCCTTCTTCGATATAAAATATTTTATATTTAGAATAACTTAGTCCTGCAGATGCAAAAGTAAAATAATTATGGAGAGACAGATTCCTTCATCTTTAACACATTCCATTGTTAATCACATTAACACTTATTAATAAAAAGCCAATTGTTACCATCAGTGAAACTCAAACACAGAAAGTTATTTATAATCCTATAAAAGACTATAGGCATGTACACACTCCTTAACATTGTCATTAAACATTATTAATAAAATAATTAATATGACAGTTATAATGATACCTAACAGAATTAAATATTTTCAAAGTGGAATCAAACAGCATTTCCTACGACAGAATAAAAATTTTCATTATCAGTTTTCTTTTTGGATTCGAAGTTCTCATGGGACTCGCTATGAAGATTATTATATTCTCCGTGTAGTCTGGTTTTATCGATGTTTAGGAGGAACACGCTGTGTCCGCCTTCGGCACTGGACAGTAAGTGAAGCAAGCAAAAATCAGCGTTCTGCTTGTTGGTTGCTTAATTGACTTACCCTTCGACCCTGAGGATGGAAGCAGTACGTACCTTCGAATCTGCAGTAAAGTTCTATAAGATTACAAGGAGCCGCATGCCAGAAGACAGTATCTGCGGTGTTATATTTGTGAATAAATTTACCACTTAATCGTACAGTCGAATATTGTTATATTCTGTTTTGTTTTGTAGAGTTGCATCAACATATGTTCAGGTTAACTGATCAATACTTTGTTGAATATGAGATTCTCATAGAGGTAATTATGAAAAATATAGTCTTCTGGGTTGTAAAACTGTGCAATTCGGAGAAATCTCGACGTTTCGGAGCGATATATCACTCCCATATTCACGGCCGAAGAGTAAGCCAAGCAAGAAACCAGCAGAAGCAGGCGATAAGCTGATAGTGTCTTTCCTCCTTGGATCGGCCTCTGCCAGGCCTGATGTTAGATGCACTGTTCACCCAAACTTGCCGCCTGCTTTTACTGGTATCCCTGCTTCGTGGACCCTTCTAACCTGAAGACCGAGGCGATATATTCCTCCGAAACGTCAAAACTGTAAATGTAATAATTATAGTAAACAAACAATGTTTAATGACAATGTAAATTATCATCAGTGTTTTATTGCCTGAAAAGGGCAGTCTTTTCTTTCTTTTAAATGTATTTAAATTACTAATATGCAGCACAAGAATTTAATTCAGAAAATATTTGTTTTTATATTCATCAAATATGATAGTTTCTGCTAAAATAAAGTAATTTTCCTATGCTATCTAATGCCTACCAACCCCTGTAGTTTCCAACAGCTGCACAGTCACGAAGTTTAAATAGCAGAGAGCAGGTGAACAGCAATTATTATGCTTCAGTTTCACATAACTGCATTAGTAAAGTACTTGACTTACGAAGGATTTGAGGTTTTCACACCTGTAGTTACGAAGAGTTCTATCTTCTGGGATACAACACTATGCAGTCCGTTGAAAGTCAGAGGACGTTTCAGAGGAATTTACTCTTCAACCCTGAAGATGGAAGCGATATGTTCCTCCAAAACGCTGGCTGATTTTCAACGGGCTACATCGTATTATAACCTGAAAGATAGAAGGCTACTTGATTTAAGATTATCATTAAGTACTACGGACATCAGTTTCGATTTTCACAATAATACTGGTTTCCTTATTTTCATTTTTCATCCAGTGCGTTCAAGGAAGCCCAAATTTGATATTAATCATAACAAGGAACAGCAGTTCAGTGGCGACTCATAAAATAACAAACGTTGAATGAATTGTGATGTTTAATTTCGAATTCGTGCATGTTTAGTATTACTTACTGCAAAGAAGAATTCTGTCAAATACAACTGAGTCAGCATCTAGAAATTAACGTCTCAATAATGTCGTAAGAACTAGTCATCAGTGATTATGTAATTAACTCTTGATTTATAAGTTAAATTATTAACAGAACACTGCCTGAGGATGGATGCTTAGTAACACGAATTTTTCATATTTTGGTCAAATTTATTCCATTAAAAGATAAGTAAGGTGTTAGAAAAGGTAAAGCTATCCCTGTAATAGGCCGTTGTGAAACGTTGAGGTTCCCACATATTCTAGACAATTGGCTCACAGATGGTGGTGAGGTCAGCCTTATGCGCCGGCCAACCTTACCCCGCCGGAAAATTCCTGGTACTCATTTCTTGTAGAGGCTGAGCCGACATCACGGCTATATTACGGCTGAAAGGAGTAGATAAATTGAAATATACAGTGTCCTCATCGGGAATCGAAACCGCGTCCTTCTGACTTGTAGCATTTTCTTTATTGCTAGTGGGGTGGGACTAAGTCCCTTGTACCAGCCCCAGATGATAGGTGAGGGTGATTGTGGAGCAATTGGGGGAATGAAAATGGCAGGGGAAACCTAAGTACTCGGAGAAAACCTGCCCCAGCGCCACTTTGTCCACCACAAATGCCACTTGACCAGACCCGGAATCGAACCCGGGCCGCCGCGGTGGGAAGCCAGTGACTAATGACTTGTGCTATGGCGCGGCCCGACTTGTAGCATAGTGCCTCAACCAACTACACTACTGCCTTCCTATCAGTAAGGTATAATCATGTGTAAATTTAAATTCACGCAAAGAATATGTACCAAACACCAAGAAAATAATTAGGATAATTTATGTAATTATGAACACAGTAAACTGTATCTTTTGAGAGATAAGGTGGGTTGGTATGGACTGGATCGATCCGGCTTAGGTTAGGGTCCAGTGGATGGCTCTTGTGAACACGGCAATGAACCTTTGGGTTCCATAAACTGTTGGGAAGTTCTTGAGTGGGTGCGCACACATATGGGCTTCTCAAGAAGGGCTCAGCTCCATGAAATTTGTTATGAACACGGTTGTTGAAGACCTATAGAAGTCTTAACATTCTACAGTCTGTCAAAATAGAGATGTTTGTAGGCGCAGTCCCCCCCACTCCATCGCTCTGTGAGCATATTTCAAGGCTCACTCCTTACCCCGCTTTACCTTCCTAGTTGCGTCTCTATTCTGACACAGTACAGCGACAAATAAATAAAATACAAATTTACGAGAAAACATTGCTAATGTTTCACATAATTTTACATCGTGACTAAAGTAAAGTTATCCCTGTGCTTAATTAAATATACATCATGAAGACTTACTAGGGGAATGGAGGTAGGGTTCCATCATTTTTGTCGTCGGCACTAGATGGAGTTTAGTGGTGAGCTTGAAGCTCCTGCTATTCTCACCCCGGGGAAAGAGCTTGCAGTACCCAATGTGTAAGAGGCCGGATCAGTCCCAGAGCCGGTTTAGATGCTGTGGAGTAGAGAAAAATGTCTTGCCTCTGCCTGGAATTGAACCCCGGCACTCCTGCCCATAGTCCGATTGAGGTATCCCGGTTCATTATACTCTTACTGGTTTCCAGTATTTTCCGCCATTTAAAATTATCTGGGATACCATCTTGTTAACATCTGCTCTAAGTCACTGTTGACAAATAAAGAGTGTTGTAACAAAAACGATAGAAATATAATGATTAATTTTGGCGTTTCAAAGTTTAACTAGAGACAGATCGGAAGATTGCGTTATTATGAGGATAAATTACTTATATATATTATTTACTGCTCAAAGTACAGTGGTACGAGTGAATGTTATTTTCAAAATCACAGGAACCTGCAGGGCAGAGATTAACGTTTCCTTAGACACTACAAAAGCCACTGAATATATCTGTACAACTTGCCACTGAGTACCACAAAACCAGACATAAATACACGAAATTAAAATTAATATGGGCAAACGGATTACTACGAGTCGCCACTGAATATGGAATGTCGTTAGACCTCGAAGGAGGATCTCTTGACAGGTTTCACATTAATTGATCACTGAAATAGGATTCCAATGGCAACATCTTAAGATAATAATAAATATAAGAATAATAATAAAGGTTACGATAATTATTCGCAGAACTCTCGTAATTGTTGTAATGTCTTTCTGCATTCAGATTTTTTCACTTCTTTATATAGAGACATATCTAGGCGTGCGCAATTGAGGAAGATTGTCAACAGAATATTTAAACTGTTCTCATAAATAACTTATCACTGTTAAGTAATAATCTCTGATTTCAGAAAAATATTTAAGTTTTACACGAGACACCATTTTCTTTTAAAGTTGTTTTATTTAGTTTCCATCAAAACACATATATGATAAATGTTAGTAACAAAAGTTCATAGGAAGTAACTTTAGTATAAGGACTCTTACCCTTTTATTACAACTGATGGCGAACTTACTCTTCAATGCTATGATTCATTGGAATGTTCGCTTTTGAAAGTAGTTTAAGAAAATAAAAAGCATTCAAGTGAACAACAGTTGACCTGTCGCGAAACTTCTGTCACCCGTTTACGCTTGCTATACTGTCACAACCATCACTGTGAAATGATTCGTGGAGATGAACCTGTCTTTAGCATGAAACGTTCACCACAAAGTACGTTTTTATGTTCCTAAGATAGAAATTTATTACAGAAGTTTAACTTGTAACTTCATGTATCCATACACACACACACACACACAAATACACACACTACACTTTGAAAGTACCACATTACAACCCAAACTCACGCACAGAATAGGCCAAATTTAACACGTTAGAAACTTATATCAGCCATCTCTGACAAATCAGTTTATTTCTTATTTATAATAATGTTAATCTATAATTTCACACGAAACCATCAAAATGTCGTACACCTAAAATTGAGCTATTTCCATTTTTAATTTTCTGGAATTTATAACTGTATTTCATTTATAATAACTAAGTTATTTTTCTCAGTACAGTGTTGTCCTGGCGATTATATCCTCGCTATATGTATTTCTAAATTTCACATAATTTACTATCTAAGAAAAAGAGGGATATATAAGCAAAGTAAACTCAGTGCAAAAGAATTGATTAAAATTTCTCGTTTCTGTAATATATTTACATTTAAGTGTGTGCAGAAGTATTGGGAGACTTGAATATTATTCTCTATTCACTACTTCATGATGATACAAATGTGACTTTCATTCATTCATTCATTCATTCATTCAGTTTTGAATTCAGTGCACACACAATCAATCACACATAAGATTCGTGATAGAGAACGCATATTGTATATTACTTCTTTGTTCAACTTCGCCGTGTACACTTCTGACTGGTTTGGCAATAAATGTTGCATCCCACCCACACGGCGAGAAAGACACTAAAGTGAATGATCACACGAGACGTGAAAAATAGTTATATCTTATTCATCAACATCACTATCCTATGAAGAACACGATAGATTATTAAATTAAACATGTGATTATTTTGACGTATGAGGAGATGGAGAAGAAAACTATTGGCACAGGTTCAAGTGAAGTCTACATCTAAAATAAACGACTCAGCATTCTCCAGTTTAACTGTTCCTTCCATCAGAATATTTTGCAGTGATCTTCTTTGCTTGATGTGGAGGTTAACTGTGACATCTCAGTCCAGAGCACTGCTTCATGTATGGACACCCCCAAGGTTCTTTCTTAGGAACGCAGCCGGTTTGGCAAGGAAAGAGGAGGTTAGAGAATTTACTTTCTGAACTTAAATTTAAGGCTGTTTTTGCTGAGAGAGACAACTTATTTAGAATACAAGAATATTTTTAAATACTTACAATGCGATATTATTAATAACTGGTATATTTCTTCCTTTTCTTTAATTTTGACCTTTTTAAAAAATGAGAGAGGCTGCAAATGTCTCTGTCTTACCTCGTTTCAACGGGTGTCCTGGGTTCCATTCTATGAAATACGCCAGAAACTTAATTATTAACCACCGGAGATTGAAAAGTGAAAAATACTCATTAGGTTTCTGGCTGATTTCTCAATATTGTAATGAAGACAGCTGAAATAACGCATTATTAATTCCACTCAATGCTCAGTTTGTGCAAAAAGTCAGCTAGAAACCAAATAACAATCTTTGTTTTTCTTACCACTTCTGTCGCCCTGAACTAAACTGACCGTGATATCACACGAATCTCAATATGATGTCGGTTTCCACTTTCTCACATCAGAGCACATACATGTGGTAACACCAGGCATATAGATTGCATCTTATTATATCTTCTTCGCAATTTTTAAGATTTAAAACGTAATTTATACCCTTTCATTTTAAAGTATTCGATGTGACACGTGGACCACTTCTACAAACGATGAGCTAGTCCTTGAATTTTTTCATGTGCATTTTAAAATTAATTGGATAAATAATTTATACTTTGTCTGCATTTTCTTCTATTTGCTCCATAAAACAAGGACAGAAAGAAATGCATTCACAAAAAAAAACCGACATTTCCTACTCCCATTTGAAGAACTGTTTTGAAGGCCGTTAACATTGTCATCTTCCAATGGTCCCACAAGACAATGGTTTCGCAATTCTGCCTTTGTTTTGAAAGGCATAGAAATTACCGAGGGCCTTTGATATTTCTTACGACACTGTTATGAGGACTCCTACCACAGAATCTTCGAAGTGCCTTTCGTTTCGATAAGACCCAAAGATATTTTGATATTTATGAACAAAGTGATATACTTCCATACACCCGTCACTTACTTCTGTTCTTCAGTTACCTAGCCATTGGCAGGAACATAACCAAGGTTCTTCCTCTGGAGGAAGAGATGGATCTCTCCGAACCGTGGACGATCCGTTTCGTGTCTCTTCCAGCACTCTCCCATAAGGTCATAGATCTCACGAGGACATGCAGGGGGACGCGAGAGGTACCGCTGCAGGCCATCGTTTTGGTACCAGTGGTTACAGTTCTCTATAACTTGTTCGTTAGTCAGTTCGGCGAACGGTTGCTGGCCGCATAACATCAGAATCTCCCAAAGTGTCACAGCAAACGACCACACGTCACTCTTGGTACTCTGTTTGCCCTGTACCATGACAAAAACAATCTTGTTAGTAAGAGGGCATCAGGTTATCAGGTGTGATATGCACAGTTATAATAAAAAAGGTAAAGCTATCCCTGTAACAGGCCGTGAAGGCCCATAGGGTTGTAAGACGTTGAGGCTTTCTAGACAATCGGTTCATAGATGGCAGTGAGGTTGTCAGCCTAACGCGCCGGCCGCGCTTTACTGCCCATGAGTAATTCTTGGTACTCATTTCTGTTAGAGGCTGAGTCGACCCCAGGGCCATAGTGTGGCTGGAAGGATTAGGTCACTTGAAATATAATCCAATGACCTCATCGGGAATTAAATCCTCGACCTTCCGACTTATAGCATAGTGCCTCAACCAAATACGCTACCGCGTGCTTCTACAAATTTATAATATACAGAATAATTACAAATGAAATAAACAGGTTCAAAATATGACAGCAAGTAAACTGTCTACAAACAAAAACAAAACAAACTCCGCGATTTTAGTCCGCAAGCGAACTATACCGACCGCGCGACCGCCGCTTCTCGGCGAAGTTTAGTACCAAATTTTGCGGATAGAGGGTGTCGCGTGGTCAGCGCAACGAATCCCCACGGCCGTTAATTTCGGTTTTCCCTCATTTATCATGACGAGGCTGAGTGGACCCCGTTCCAGACCCACTACTTATAAAAAAAAAATCTGGTAGCGCCGGGAATCGAACCCGGATCTCCGAATATGTAGCCAGGAACGCTGACCACTAGACCACAGAGGCGATCAAGTCAACTGTCTTCATAATATTTATGTACATAAACACTCCCAAGTTTCCTGCAAACTTCGCGGATACCCAATGTGAGTCACAAGGCAGACGTCAGTCCAACAGTCCAGTTCTTTCCAGACACCTGTCAGCAGCGGTAACGACTGGAGATCCTTTCCCTTGTCTTTGGTTTTAAACTGCGTAAATCGCTTTGTGGTGGCTCCTTCTGGTAACGTTTCCGGAAATCCCACTCGTGTAATTGTAACAGAATTCATCTTCGCGTACCGAATAACATAGAGCTTCGCCATTTTCGTAACAAGCGCGCCTCTAGCGGATAGGAAGAGAATCATGTTTCTGGCTGGTATTAGAAAAAAGAAAACCTTGTTCCTATCAGCTATCTATCTCTCTATGTGTCATCTCGGCGAAATGAATTAGTATAGTATTATTAGTACACGAAACTGTTTACTTCATTTTGAATTACCCTTTATTGTCTTAGGGTGTGAAGGGATTAATGATTTAAATATCTTAAGTAAAGACACAGACAAACTCTGGAGATGCAATTAAAATTAGTAGGCACACCAGTTTCCCATTCGTTGAAAATCATTCGTAAAAATAGGCATTACTGTAGTTAATTTTATGTAACAAATGATTTCATACTGAAAACATGTTAAAAATTCCCATTTACAGAGTTTTCTAGAGCTTTCCTAAGCGACTATCTTAATGCCGTGGCGAGATTAAGAACGTTTCTACTTCACCCAGACACTTAATACTCGGATTGCTTAGTTTTCTTGTTTCCTTGGGACTACAGCCCCAGTGGGCCTAGTCCTACCTCCATGAACTTCTCCGTTCACTTCGGTTTTTCTAGATCTTACACATGCGGTAGGACTCCTTGGGCGGGTGATCAGCTCGTCGCAAGGCCTCTACCTGTACACAAACACAGAAAAACGCACACACACAAACTAAACATCCATGCCCTGAGTAGGATTTGAACCCACGATCCCGGTTTCCAAGCGAGCGAAGACAGTACACGCCGGATTGCTTAGTTACAGAGTTAAATTTTCCTTAATATTCTCTTAATTCAAGATATGTTTATTAAACCAAATGCATTAGAATCTGTTATTCCGGCAGAATACAAAGTATTCTTGAAGTTACTAATGAATTACAACATAATGATTATTAATATTTTTTTGTATGGCCAGTGTCGTGTGGTTCTTAACTGAACGTTCTGTATCAGAAGCAACTAACTTCATTCTGCGTACCATACAAAAATCTTCTCCCATCTACAGTATAAAACGTATCTGGTGTCAATGCAATGTGTTGAAACTTAAAAAAAATATATGCATATGTCACGTCACGATTATCCTGTTAAGAACTGTACATACAAAGTAATTCGTATCATGTCCAGTGGTGATTTCTAGCCATGAAGTTGACAAAGCACTGCCTATAGTAGGAAGTGATTTGCACAGAACACGAGCGTAAGCCGTCGTCACAAGAACAGTCTAGCGGTTTAGACACAAGCTTCTTACGAAAGAGGGACTAAGTGTTTTACTACAAGAGAGAACACCGCAGTGGTTTGACTGATGGAGAATACTCACTAGCAGAAGACTCTCCCAAGCCATCCATCTGATGGGCAGGCGTGCCTTTGTATCACTCACATAATAATCGGCTTCGTAGCGGCCGCAGTACATGGCGTGGTCAGAGATCTTCACAGAGTAGTTCTTGCCAACCACGCAGTTTCTGTAAACAGAATGCCATTATATACAGACGAATTTAGTTGCAAAGAACTGTTAACTACATGCGCGAGAGTGGAGGGTGCGAGGGACACAAAGCTAGGACTGCTTTTCTCTGTTGTCCGTCTTCCTCACTCCGCCATCTGCTTGCTCCCGTCTTCAGTATCTCGTTTTTGTCCATCCAAGGACAGTGTCTATCTAATTATATCCTAGAAGACAGGACTCTTTTTAATACAGTCTTTCTGTAAATACTACTGAACTATGAATCGAAATTTGGAAATGAAAGCTGGATTGCGCAGTCGGTATGGCCACGGCCGAGGGGTCGGAGTTTGAGACCCGGTAGGGCCAAGATTTTACTCCTTTCCACTTCGTCGAGATCAGTTCTGACGCCTACCCAGCCTCCCATACAATGGGTAACGGGGGTAAAGCGGCTGTGGCGTGAAGCTGACCACTCATCTCCAACTAATGCCGAAGTCAAGAATCCATTCCACCGTACTTCTTAATGGCGCAGTACTTAATTAGTTAAGCACAGGAAAAAATTTACCTTTACCATGAATCGAGATTTCAAACTGAAGACTTCTGACAACGTGTCAAAATTCGCTCACGTTTAGCCTTCAGCAAACACAAAACAGCTCTCGCAACATCACTCGGAACTCGGCCTTGGGTTACACAGGCAAATGCCAATAATAGCGCCAGGAGAAGAATTCTTGTGAAGCCAACAGTCGCTCAGTTAATCCGAAAATTCGTTCCTATCCGGAAACATATGAATCCAAGACGTAGATGGAAATATACTATTGCAGTGGATCTCAAAGAAGAACGATATGAGGGAGTGGAATCCTGTCAAAATCTTTACATTCTTCTTCTTCTTCTTCTTCTTCAATTTTAATAATGTGCTACCGAGAGATATATCATCTTGCGGGTTTTTTACTTAAATTGCTGATTTATTTCTTATCTCTTCCATTTTGCCAAGCTCATTTTCGAAGAGTTCTATCCTCTGGGATATAACGCCGTGTAGTTCATTGAATGTCAAGCGACCTTTCGGAGGAACACGTGAAGTAGGTAGCAAGCAGGGCAGAACTCTTCGGCCCTAATAGACTTCGGTGAGATAATTACATAAGTTACAGAGGACTGAAGTAAAGTACATAACATGCGACTTCGCGTTCAGCCTCTTTGCCATCTATGTGCAACGTCGGTTAATATTCTCTCGTCGTTTTCTCTTTACTGACACTACATGTTTCGGCCTAACCGGCCAGTATCATGTAGTTGCCTCGGAGTCGAGATTATGTGGGTTAACTGATTTTTTTTATTTGGGTGTCTTTGAACAATTGCTATGAAAGTATTTGCCTTACGGTTTCGTTGGTTTGTAGCATGTGGCTGTCTGAATATTTCTGTTGGGGTGACCGTTAACACTTTTAATGAATCATTATGGTGACCTAGTCAAGTATTATGGAATGGACAGAACAGTGAAATTATATACCAGCCCTTGGAAAACTAAAAATATAAATACCTAGTATTATTTAAACACACAGACAGAACTCAATTAAGTGCCCATTGCAATTCAGATGAGGTGTACGTGAGTATGCAGCAGTTCGCATTAATGACGTACTCTTGCCTGTAGTGATACCTCTGCGAAGCAATTTTCTACTTCATTTGATCCAAATGGGGTCTACTCTGCCGGTTAAACAACATTAACACGACTATAATGCGGCCATATCCGTGGTTAAAATAACCAGTGGTTCCCAGTCTCCGCAACTCCGTACTCTAAAATATCCGAACAAATACAATTCTAGAATCATCTTAATATGACAATGACAATTACACGGTCGTTTCCCCTGTTCTGATTCACATAACTTTCGCCCTACAAAGTTAAACGTGTACACATTAACTAACTAAACTCCATGGAGCGGAGTCCTTCACGGGTATTCGCCTGTCGCTCATATGTTCAAGAATTTTCCAAAAATTTATGGAACTCGAAGGTTCAACACCATGTTCACCAGAGCCATCTACTGATCCAAATCCTGAACTAGATCAGTTCAGTTCAATTTCTATAAGATAAATTTTAATATCATCCCACCTACTTCTACGTCTCCTCAGTGGTCTCCTTCCTTCTGGCTGCCCTCTTATTCCCCATTGGTCGTATATGCTCTGCCCATCTTATCCTCCTTTCTTGATCATTATGTTTTGACTAGGGAACAAGTTATGAAGCTCCTCATTATGCCACACATTTCGACAAAAATATTTCCCAGTCCCAGTGCAGTAATCATTCCTCGGAAACTTGTACGATGCTTACTCATTCTAGTCAAGAAATTGCCTGCCTCTCATGAAACCCGGAGGATCATTACCTTATTCACAATATCTGGCAACTGGACACGATTTTGAACAGAATGAATCAAACTAATAGATCAGTGCTATTGGGCAGAATAGTGATCGCATGATGCATTAAACGACTGCCAAACTCCAAGAAAGTTAACTCAGGTAGTAACGCGCTTGATTTGAGCTCAGAAGAGTTTAGTTCGAATCTCGGCCGCGACACTGAGTATCCTGATTGGGGTTTATCGTAGTTTGCTTCTGCCCCACCAGGAGTATGTTTGGATGGTATCTTGAAATGGGCCACGAGCACGTCCTTCCATATCCTGTCATTCTTAACTCATCCTACTGTTCGACGCTATATAATTTGAGTTACTGGAAGCGTAATTAAATTTATTATGAATAAATACCCAATAAAATAAATTTTTAAGCAAGGAAATAACAGTAAACATTGTTTGTACAACTGGGCCTCTGGGAAAATATAAACTCACTGGCTTTCACCCGTTATAAGTAATACAGATATTGTCACGTATATGTGTGTAAATACAGACGGGGTTTGGATTGACTGGATTTATTGGCCACATACACACAACACTCGTAACTACAAGTAATTACAGCGCCATCGCCAATCTCTGCACTTTACAAATCACTACTGCAAACACTAAGTATTCTCCACCTTGCATTGTCTTCACTAGTCGTTTCCTGGGGACGGCTTCTAATAGTGGAGATTCTTCAGCTTCCGCGCTCATTCCGTTGCTGTCCGGCGAATATCCCGCATCACAACTCTCTCAGGCGAGTCGGGGTCGTCGCCATATAGTCTCGGGGCAGTCCCGACAGAAAACACCGCTTTCAACAGTTTTTATTGTTGTTATGGGCGGTTGCCTAGCGATAGCCCGGATATCGTTGACGTGTTTACAGGACGTTACCAAGCAACGCATATCCTTTCTGCGATCGTTGCATAGAAACTGAACTACACGCTACAATATTTAGGATGTGATATTCTCTCAGCGGTAGTTATGAAAGGTTATAATATTGTGTAGTCCGTTTGCTTGCCGATTTCTTCATTCTGGTTTCTTGTTTGACTTGCTTTTCGAAATTGAATACGGAGACGATCATGATCGTCCTAAATCTTGAGCTCTCACCAAACTACATGACGTTACTACTCAGCAGAGTGTACTCTTCATAGCAGCTGTCCTGAGAACCTCAAATCCAACAACGATAATATCTGATGATGCCTCTTCCCTGACGCATGCGTACAGCATCCTTAATGCTCGACGTTAAGAGATGAAGATATACCTATAAGATATTAGAAACAACTTTGCCGCCTGAATTGTTATAGTCATTATTTATTATTTTAGTAAGGGCAAGAGCATATACCAGACTTAGACAAACTGTGGTTCGCAAGCTGCATGCTGCTCCTTTTTAACCATTATTATTTTTTTATTGCTAGTGGGGTGGGACTAAGTCCCTTGTACTGCAGCCACTTCTGGCCTATTGTACCAGCCGCAGATGATAGGTGAGGGTGACTGTGGAGCAATTGGTGGAATGAAGATTGGCAGGGGAAACCGAAGTACTCGGGAGAAAACCTGCCGCAGCGCCACTTTGTCTACCACAAATCCCACTTGACCAGACCCGCGGTGGGAAGCCAGTGACTAACCGCTTGAGCTATGGCGCGGCCTTTTTTAACCATTAGTGCGGCTTATGGAAATAAATAAATACTAATCAATCAAATTTACACAAACGGCCTAAATATCAAATAATTTATTGAATTGAACGCTGCTCCTAAATACGTAAGCTGTGTAATCCACACCCGAACTCAGTTTGGCCACCCCTGTTATTCACCGTCTAAACTCTGTTCTTATTACATTCCAAGAACCAGAGGTTGTTCAAAGCAGCGAAAATAAAGACAGTTGGAAATTACTAACATAAGAAACCACATGCGGCGACGTGTAGAAAGAGGAACACGCAATGATTAAATTAGAGATCAATATATTTGAAGGGTAAGCATAGGTAGCTATAGAGATATGTTCGTGTGGATCGTGTTTCCTTGTGTAAAGCCAAGATATATTACACCGCTCACAGAACGTAAAAAGGAAGCTAATTCACATCTTGTTGTCTTGCCTATGTAACGCGATATTGCGTCGCTCTATTTGTTCTAAGTAATCTCTGTTAATTCCCTGAGGGAAACGAGGAGAGAATAAATAAATAGAGATCTACAGCCTAGTTACTGTAATCTAGGATTTTGTTCCCTTGTTAAGGCGCATCCACGCTATACGTAATGACATCCACAGGGGGCATACCTTCAGCGGAGGGCCAGTTTAGTATTCATGAATTATGGAGAGTGACTATAGACGGGGTTTGTACTGGTGAATGTATTTACTGACCACTTATGCACACTACTCGCAACTACAAATACGCAATTACAGTGCTATCGCTTACCTCCACTCTTCACAAATCACCACAGAGCTCGCTTAGCCTTTTCCAGCCTGACGTGTCTTCATCAGACGTTCCCTAGCAAAAGCTGCTAACAGCAGAAATTCTTCAGCTTCACGCGCTCAGGCACTATCTTCACAGCTTCCCTTGCAGAACTCAACTCTCAGTTGATCACTGACAAATTGCCAGGATGACGGCCATTTCAAACCAACCTTCTAGTTTTCTCTTCATAAGTTGACTTCCAGCCGATAACTCTCATTGGGTGAAAAAGTCAAAGTCAAAGTCACTTTGCGGCTGACGGTCAGCCAATCAGAAAGCCTTGGTGTCGAGCCGACCAGGTATTTATTATTGTTTGACAGTTACGGTCTTTATTTTTGTGGTGTGCCCTCTCTGAGGAGAAGAGGACGAGTCTGTCTTTTGTATATGATGCTGGCCCTTGCCAGCGCAGTCTTTCCCGGACCAGAGTCCTTTTGGAATCGTAACCATATTCTACTGTTTCAGATTTGAGATTTCTTTTTTTGTCGCCCCCAATGATTCGCAGGGTCATGGCTAAGGTATTCGACCCCGCCTCCAAACGGATATTTCTTTTTAACTTGGTCGCTCAAATTGTCTTTAAGATAAATCCTCGGCAAGGACTACATAGAAAACGCCGTTTCCTACAGTAACTATTGTTGTGGAGGCGTGTTTACCGCGACGTTGCATAGCAACGGCTGTTATCTCGTTTATTTCGGGGCCTTTGCCTAACAACGGGTCTGTACGTCACAATATAATTACGATTGCAAAGCTGGACGTTTATTTCAATAGAAAGAATTGGAGATCATGACGGTTTTGTGAAAACTAAACAGAAAGTGTCATGTGAGAAGTTTGGATGACCATTGCGCTAAATAAACAGAAATATGTATGAGTAGTAACCTATTAAACAGGCAGCGCCATAGCTCAAGCGGTTAGTAACTGGCTTCCGAAAGCGACGGCCCGGGTTCGATCCTGGGTCTGGTCAATTGGGATTTGTGGTGGACAAAGTGGCGCTGGGGTGGTTTTTCTCCGAGTACCAAATTCTCCATCATCATAATCACCCAAGGCAGGCTACAATAGGCAAATCAGTGGCCGCCGTGCCGAGTGGACCCACTTGGACTCCACCCCCATTTTTTTTATTGCTAGTGCGGTGGAACTAAGTCCCTTGTACTCGTACTGCGGCCACTTCTGACCTATTGTACCAGCCCCAGAAGATAGGTGAGGGTGATTGTGTAGCAGTTTGTGGAATGAAGATTGGCAGGGGAAACCGAAGTACTCGGAGGAAACCTGCCCCAACGCCACTTTGTCTACTACAAATCCCACTTGACCAGACCCAGGATCGAACCCGGGCCGTCGCTTTCGGAAGCCAGCTACTAACCGCTTGAGCTATGGCGCGGCCCCACTCCCCACTAAGCGGACCTATTAAACATATCTTAGCATTGTATTATTATTGTTATTATTATTATTATTATTATTATTATTACGTTGTTTGTTTCATTCTCTGCGTTAATGTGTTTTTCTCCAGTGTATACCTTTAATTTGTCTTTGACTTTATGTTGTATTTGTCCATAATTAATTAAATTTATCTAGACTGTGCTGTGTTTGTAATTGGCCTTGTGGCTGTTGGCTCGGCACATAAATAGTAGAGAACTGAATAGAATTATTATGAGAAACCAAGAGAAGTTACCTTCATTTACGAGGGCAACATACGTAAGTTAACCTATCTTACATTATGTAAGATTTGAGGCTTTCACGGCGGCGACTATGAAGAAAGCAGTCTTCTGGGATTTGGCACCGTGTATATGTGGTGTTAACCGACGTTTCGGAGGAACGTATCGCCCCCATCTTCAGGGTTGAAGAAGTATAAGTAAATCTGCAAGCGACAACACCGTGAGACACGGTCAAGCAGTCTGCTTGNGTTGTCGCTTGCAGATTTACTTATACTTCTTCAACCCTGAAGATGGGGGCGATACGTTCCTCCGAAACGTCGGTTAACACCACATATACACGGTGCCAAATCCCAGAAGACTGCTTTCTTTATCTTACATTAATTCATGATTCTCTATACATACGTGACGATAATTGTTTTATTCTTTATTGTCTGTTAGACGTTTCTACTGTCCATCATTCGGAGTCCGCTACTAATAATAAAACACTGAAGGTCTATTACCTAATCTAATCGAAAATTTAGCATACAGAGTACAGTATATATAAATCATTACATATATTTCAATTCTAATAAAGCAGAACATTATATATCTTTATTTATTTTTTCTATTCATAATAAAATACTCTTTTAATATTGATATTAAATTTTACTCTAGTTTCTTCTAACGAAAACTAAACTTTAAGTGCCGGTGTAATGTTACTTAGGAACATTTCGACATGGAAAAGAGCGAGAGAATGGACTTAAATAGATCATTTAACTGAATTCATGGTTGTTCCAGCACTGGAGTTATTCACAAGCCATGAAAACTTCATAGACCAGTACTAAAAGTTTCAAGGACTGGTTTTATGCCTGACATAATCCTTTATGCTACACGACACTAAAGGAAGTACACTTATTTAACAACGCAAGATGCTTCGTTCCAGCGCTTTGCATGTTTTATGGACAGACTTCCCCGTATAATATACTTCCGAGATGTTACTTTAGGAGCCAAATATAACAGCCTGCACTTAAAACACGGCGATAGACATTCTCGCAGAGGGTGCCTAGCTGGTTAGCACAGGGTTACTACTTCGGATACTCTATGCAGTGTTTCCCGGTCAGTATAACCGCAAATAAATTTAAAAATATCCCCACACGAAATGCAGCATGGGTACTGAACACAGTGAAACGTAAATACAATAAATCAGTTGTTAACGTCGTGATGTGAACCGGATGAAGATACTGGATTTGAGGTTATCACAGCGGTGACTATGACGAGTACTGTTGTGGCATATAGACCCGTTTCTAAGCAACGACCGCGAAACGACAAACGACAGCTGTTGCTAGGCAGCCCACGCACGACAATGGAAGTACTGTTGGATGCGGTGTTTTCTATGTGCTCCGCTCCAAGGCTACATGACTCGACCGACCGAGTGCAGTTCAATTAGTGAGTGGAGTGCAGTTGAGTACAGTGGAGTCAAGAGTTGGTTGGTGGGTCAGAGAACCGCTGGGGTTCAGTCGTTGTGAGCTGTTGATGTTAGAAGCTGGTAGCCGAGGCACGGGGTTAATTTTGGAACCCAGAGTAATAGGAACGTCTGCCACTGAAGCAGATACCAGGCAACGACTGGTGAAGACACAGCAGGATGAGAAGATATAGTACATGCTGTAGTGAACTGCAGAATGTGTGAATTAATGATAGCGCTGTGGTTACCTGTAGTTACGATATGTAAGTCGTCAATAAATCCAATTACCAATCCGAACCGCCTCTATAATCACTCAGACACTTGACACTATTTTCTGGTACGTAATGCCGTATAGTCCGATAGACGACAATCGACATAGTCTGTTTCTTAGTGGTTTCTTCCTTGGATTCCTCAGCCTTGTTAGTTGCTTGGTTCACTATTTACCCACGAAGGTTAAGGCAGTACTTTCGTCCGAAATGTCGGTGGATTTATGAAACCACAACGTTACTCCCAGAATATGACACTTTTCATAGCCCAAAAGGAAGTATCCATAGAAATTCATATTTCCTACAGAAAATCCGGATAAATACCAAGCAGACCATCATATCGTCAGCCAGGCCCTTAAAGGTGAAATCTTAATGACACAGGTAGTAAGCACGTACGAAACGTCGTCGCACCAATATAGTATAGAATCAGTAGCGGCAAGAGAAATATCAGTGTGAAACGTCTGAAAACGTAGTTGAATGACTAGTTTTATTTCCGTTTACTCCAAATGGGACATCATGTTACGAAACTAGAGGACTAGGCTGTGCATCAGACAGAACATGCCTTTAGGAAAGTAACTGTGAACTCTGGGAATTAAGTAACAAACGAATCAGGTAACTCACCTCGCTGCCAAGTCCCTGTGCACCAGCTCCAGCGATTCCAGGTACTTCATCCCGGAGGCAACCTGAGTTGCCAGGAAAATGAGGCAACCATAACTGGAACAGAGGACAGAAACTCGATAGAGTTCCATATTATCAGATATGTCAGTCATGTGTTTCACAGAACAAAACACAACTCAAAATTACTATACTGTCGTTTTCTACAAGAACTAGAATGCAAAGTATTGTATTACTAATAAGCGAACGTGTTTGACAAAGAAGCGCTAAGGAAAATGTTTGCTCCTAAGACACAGAGTGTTTCAAAATATAGGGCGCACTGCCGTAGCGGTAATGATCCATAATCATATATGATTGATACTAGGTTCGATTCTCGGCTGAGAAACCAGCTATCATGACGTTTTCGTGGTTTTCCTCCCTAACATCCAGGAAACATTGGGATAGTACCTGCATCAGAACACGACCGCATCGTTTCAAATACTTTCCAATTCATGATTCAAAAATAATCCTACCTTTCGACACTATATTTGCTCAAAAACTACTTCGTAATAATATTGGGTAGTTATTAATAATATCAGTTTAAAGTAGTTTATTACGGACGGGTTAAAGACAAATATAAATTTTTATCATTAATTTTGTTAGATCTTGATAATATTCCCCCAGGTCGTAGCAATTAATTTGAAGAAAAGTTAAAAGATTGTACGAACGTTCTAGATATATACAATGAATTCAACCCACTTAAAGAGGTAAAGGTGAATAAGAAAATGCATTCGTAAATTGTGTACTATCTCAGTTCTTCTTGAATGCAGGTTTCTGCTCCACCTGGTATCAATCTAGCACAGCCACCACGTAGCAGGCATGCATCTCGGTGGCTTTTTGCCCCCTCACGTCTAAATAAATGGGGGAAGCCCCTTGTGGTGCTCTTTATATAAAATATTTAAAAAGGCAAAATGTTCGCTGGTAACGCTTTCTTGGTAACCGCTGAACCATGTATTCACATGGGCCCCTCATTCCTCGGCAGACAAAGGCGACCTAATTACATAACAACATGAGCCAACAGGGTATACAGCAGCTGACCGCACAGCGAAGCCTCCCGTTGTAGCAGGATCGTCTAACAATAGCATCGAAATTAAAAGTAAATGTTTGACTTGCTATATTGTCTGGCGCTGCTTGTTAGGCGGAGTCGAGATAATTAAGACAGGAACACAATATTCCTGGAACCATCATCCTTAATTTAGATAAGAATAATTTATATTATAAATATTTGTATTGTCACGTATTACGGGTTAACGTGACTAATAATAGTGTGTTCTGGATTAGCTAAATAGATTTATTGGACACTCACAAGTTGTAACTACAAATAATTATAACTGTAACTACTCGTATAACACACAAAATAAAGTTTTGAGAGCCTGCTTGCTAGTCGTTGCTTGATAATGAATCTTAACTGGTTAACTACGGAACTGATTTCTGAATTACCTGACGAATTAATTACGACTGAATTGAATTCAAATTTATGTTACGACCGAAGGTCAGTCGGTCAGTCTCTCTCGGAATAAAGCACCCATAAAGACCAGATCTTTATTACTGCAGACAGTTGTAGGTTTGTTGATGTGTGTCGCTTTCTCTGACGAGAAGATGGACCTGTCGTTTACATTGCTGCTTGCCCTCGCCAGCGCACTCGTTTTCGGGTCGGAGTACTCGCAACCATATTTTGCTGTCTCAGATCCGAGACCTCTCTTTTCGTCTCCTCCTATGACTAGCAGGGTTACGGTCGAGGTATTCGACCCACACGGGATTCTCTTAATTGAATTCGCGAATTAACTCCCTTTTATACTTGCGAGAGAACGGAACAAAGATCACCGGCTCCGAGGTTCCATTACGTCTTTTCATGAACGCGCAGTCTCGGAAACCTTGTGTTAATTCCGAAACAACGTCTGGTTTCTAAGTGTTTAAGACTTCCAGTTTTCGTATAAGTGGAAAACGTGTTCCATAACTGGTCGGTTTCCAGGAATCAGACGTTGCTTGATCATCCAAAGTGAAATGATTTTGACGCCGATGATAATAATATTTGCTTAAAACTGAAATACACAAAGCACCGAAGTTGGTGTCACTTTGTAAGATTTGAGGCTTTCACGGCGGTGACTATGAAGAAAGCAGTCTGCTTTTACCGGTTCTCACGGTCTCTTCGCTTGCAGATTTCTTATATTTTTTCTTCTATCCTGAAGATGGAGGCGATACGTTCCTCCGAAACGTCGGTTAACACCACATATACACGGTGCCAAATCCCAGAAGACTGCTTTCTTCTTGGTGTCACTTGATTCATTGACAATTTGACTCTCCGTCAGGAATTTAATACTGAATTTGTTTCACATGAAATTTTCAGAGCCGGGTACACATGCCACAGTTTGAGATATCTGACCTACATTAAACCAGCTTTTATTATGATTAGGCAGCTGCATTTTCCCGAACGTGATGGCCATATATATCCCACCTGCCCATCCACACCGTAAGCTCTCCTACCTATCCATGGTACGGGAAAATATTTTTTAGCATCATTCCCTTTCAGTCATCTTCATCCTTTCTCCTTTCCTCAGTTACTTCCCCACTTGGCAATATTTTACCGCAAGTCTCTGGCTGGTAGGCACATAACTTTACAGCAGGCGCTTCCAGCGGCGCTATAAAACCGCATTACGATCCACCCCCCCCCTTCCCGCCTTCCCATGTTGCAGCCAGGTATGAAGTACTGTATACAGCCACGTGCATCCATCGTCCTGACGGTCCTGACGCCAGTGGGGAGGGTTTTCCAGTCTCAGGTACAAAGACGGCGTGTGAGAGTTAAATTGAAATACAACTACTGTGTCTCTGGGCATTATCCATCGTCCTGTTTTTATTTAAAACACATAATGTTTCGGAGACTGGATTCTGTCTCCGTCTCCAGGCGGAACCTACTCAGTGGGGACGAATCGATAAGGGCTAATTCTATCGATTGGGACAGAATATAGATATTATGGTTATCTCATAAACTGGAAAGTTGGACTAGTCTGGCATCCTTCTCGTTCCTCTCACATACACACAGCTTCCTTCCACCCCAAAACAAACACCGTGACCTGTAGTCCGCAAGCGAACTATACCGACAGAGCCACCGCCGCTTGTCGGCGAAAACAGTGGTAACTTCAGTAGACAGAGGGTGTTGTGTGGTCAGCGCAACGGATCCCCACGGCTGTTAATCTCGGTTCTCTACACCGGAGCCGCTATTTCCTTGAAATGCCTCCTCAGTTATCCTCACAAGGCTGAGTGGACCCCGTTCCAGACCCACTTACTTACTTATTTGCTTACTTACTTACTTACTCATGGAGCTGAGCCCTTCTGGAGGAGCCGCCAATTCTGCAGCTACTCAAGGATTTCCCAGCATTTTATGGAACCCGAAGGTTCATCACCGTGTTCACAAGAGCCCTCCACTGGTCCATATCCTGAGCCAGATCTATCCAATCCATACCATCCCATCCTGTCTCTCTAAGATCCATTCTAATATTGTCCACCCTCCTAAGCCTTGGTCTTCCCTGTAATCTCTTTCCTTCTGGCTTTCCGACCAATATCCTATACGCATTCCTCGTCTCCCCCGTTCGTGCTACATTATTTTCCCACCTCGTCCTTCTTGACTTGATCATTCTAATTATACTTGGAGAAGAGTACAAGTTATGAAGCTCCTCATTGTGCAGTTCTCTCCAACCTCCTGTCACTTCATCTCTCTTCGGTCCAAATAATCTCCTCACCACCCTGTTCTCAAACACCCTCAGTCTATGTTCCTTCCTTAATGTCAGAGACTAAGTTTCACACCCATACAGAACCACAGGCAAAATTATAGTTTTGTATATTCTAATTTTTATGTTTTTGGACAGCAGACGAGAAGACAAAAGGTTCTGGACTCAATGGTAGCAAGCATTACCCGAGTTCAATCTCCTCTTAATTTTCTCCTGAATCAGTTTCGATCTGTTATCGTTGTTCCCAAATATGTGAACTGTGCCACATTTTCAAAACATTTGTTTCCTATCTTCATGTCATGATTTTTCCCTGCATTTTGGTGACGAGACAGTAACATATACTTAGTTTTCTCTGTGTTTACTTCTAGACCAATCTCTTTACTTGCGTCAATTAAAGTTTGTGTGTTTTTCTTTATAGTATCTACATTATCACTCTGTAGATTCACATCATCGGCGTAGACCAACAGCTGATGTGTCCCGTTTAGTTTCAGTCTCACCTGGTGTTTCTGGACCTTCCTAATTGCATATTCTAAGGCAAAGTTGAAAAGGAGTGGCGATAAAGCATCTCCTTCTTTTAGACCATTCTAGATAGGAAATTTATCAGACAAATGTTTACCTACACGGACTTTACTATACGTTTCGTTTAAACACATTTTAAATCAACCCACCCATCTGAAAGTAATAATCTAATTTAAATTTCTTACACTTGTCGGTCAATTAATTCATGTACTGTTCGTGTGTTTGCATCTGGCTGCTCTCGACAGAATGCACAGTGGATTAAACAGGATCCACTTACAGAGACAAAGACACTAGGGTATATATGGGTTAGTCAGAAGTATATTAAGTGCAGTGTGTCACCTTCCCTTCCTCCCACAGTGCAACCTCAAACACCGTCCCGCTACTTGTTTCCATGCCAAGAAGCCAGGTCCAAAAACATCACCTCTATGTCTCTTGCAATTATGTCTGTCACAAAGTGAAATTGTGGCCCTGAGGACATATTCTTCGCCAGTAGTTCATTATCTATCCCACCCCAACTATTATAAGCCACTGTTACCTACCTCGTAGCAGCTTAGATCGTAAAAAGAGCGACCACCTTGTTTCTGTAACGCCTGAAGAGTATACTTTCCCGGATGCCCTAAATCTTCAATCAGCATTACGGGTTGTCGACCAATGCTTCTCTTTCTCTCTCTCCCGCACTAGCTGTATCTGCTCTCCCCATTAGTTATAAAACCTCACACCCTCAGAGCGATTCTTCCTGTATAACGCTCCGAAAATTGGCGTCTGGCAGAGGCAACGGCCGTTACTTAACAGTACGTCAGTTTGTGTACGTCGTGG